ACCCATATCCAGGGTAAGGCTTCCATTATCCATACCCAGAACTATGCTAAACCAATCTGTGCACTAATTTAGTTATCACACACCCTTAATCTACATTCACATACCCTGGATCCAGCCAGCTCCAAAAAACCCCACCTATGATGACCTGATGCTGTGGGGGGAATCTAGACATGAGCCGTGAAAGCAGTGATGTTATCCACAGAGCAGGCGCAATGGGGAACAGTTTGTGGATGGAGAGGATATGTTCAGTTTTAGACAACTGTGGTTTGATGTCTTTGGTGACATCCAGGAAGAGGAGTCTGACAGTCCTTTGAAGGAGAGACCAGCTCTCTGATGAGACAGAAGCCCTGGGGTGGACCTCACCTAGGAAGACTCCATCTGTGCATGAGAGTGTGTGTCTGTGTGTGTGTGTGTGTGTGTGTGTGTGTGTACATGCACCTGTGACTCTGGGGATGGAACCCAGGGCCTTGCACGTGCCAGGCGAACTGTCTACCACTGACCCACTTCACCAGCCATCCCAGTAAGATTGGATGATGGAAGGCCTCTTAGGAAACCCTTGTGAGTCCCAATAGTTATGCCACAGTGTGAGCTGGTGAACAGAAGGAAAAGAGAAACTTCCAGAGTCAAGGGAAGAAGGGCAGACAGATGTCAGACTGGAGGTATCCAGGAGAGTCGCATATTGTGAGTTCCAAAGAGAAGGACTAAAAACTGTGCTAACATTCGCCATATAGAAGGTGACTGAACTTGTTGCCAGTGCCCTCATGCCTTGGTATTTGAGGGAGATTGGTGCCAGGATCCTTCATGGGAGTCAAAACCTGTGGATGCTCGAAGTCTTTATATAAAAGGGTGCCATGCCTGCACAGAGCTCACACATCCTTCTGTGTGCTTTAGAACGTTTCTAAATGACTTACAATACCAAGGGCAATGTGAATGCTATGGGAATCGTTGCTGTACTGTACTGTTTAGGGAGCAAAAAACAGTCAGCACGTGTTCATGTTGAGTGCACATGAAATTTTTAAAAACATACTTTCTATTCATGGTTGGTCAGATCTATGGATTTGCAGTTTCAGCTGGGAATAAATTACCTCTACCTGTGCGATACAAGATTCTGTGTTTCTGCCATGGTGGTAAGGTCCCTCTTTAAGAGAAATTTAAGATATAAGTTTTCCATCATTCTGTGTCATAAAAATACTTGTACCTTAAATCTCTAGTAAGATCTTTCTTCTCTAGCCAAGTTAAGGGTCAGTTTATTGTTAGTCTCTTTTTTTACTTCCTGCCACATCGAAGGGTGGTTAACATTGGTGCAATGTATGTCAAGTGTCACTCATGTCTAGGAACGAGATTCAGCTCCAGGGACCGCTAATGTTTGTTGAAATATTAATGTCAGTCTTGGTTTTCCTTGGAGAAACAGCAGTGAACTCGATTTCTTCTTTAAGTGCCTGCTCTATAACCAGGCCCCTCCTCTAAACCCACTGGTCCTCCCTGCCCAAGTAAATAGCCCAAGGTCTGGTGTGGTCCTGGTATTTGGGTGTGAGCAGACAGGAAAAGGACTGGGTCCTTCCTGGGGTCTGGAGCCACATGGTTGGAACCCAGCTACGGTAGGTGTATTGGTCTGTTTTTATTGCCATAACAAAATACCCAGTGCAGGGTGACTTTCCAAAGAGCAGAGGTCTCTTCTGCTCATAGTTCTGCAGGTTCCATACATGTGCTTTAGGCATTGTGCTGAGGGTGTCACAGCAGTGGGGGTGGTGGGAAGCTGGCATGCTGGTGGGTTGGCTTTTGCTTGTATAACAACCTTCCAGGAGGACCGAGCAGGTTCTTCCATAAGAGCCACCACAACCTCTTCCAGGGGTGCAGGGGGCCAGTGACTTCCCCTTGGCCCCATCTCTGAACCCTCCTGCCCCCTGGACACCACGCCAGGAACCGGCCGCCAACCTTAGAGCTGTGGGGGCAAAGCACACAGAAACCACAGCACTTGAGCCTGCTGCAGCCCAGCCGCTGCTCCAACCGTGATGGAATGGGGACAGGACGCCATGCTGAGGAGGTCTCAGTAGGTGCCTGGCCTTCCACCACTGTGGTGGGATACCCGAGAGAGATTAGCACTGGTGATGAACAGGAATTCTTGCCAGGCTCAAGTGATTCCTCGTCCCTGAGCATCATTTCCAAAGGGGACACAGCCCAGCATTTAGGGACAGGGCAGCAAGAGCGCCTGAGCTGTGATGTCACAGAGCGTTCGTTGACTTGTGCCTGCCGTGGCGGGAGGCAGCACTTGCTTATGCCCCGCCAGTTCCCAGACAGCTCTGCACAGGCAGTGACCTTCTGAGGTGCCTGACGTGAGGAGGATGAATTGGTTTCTAGGATTAAAATTTCACAATGTTCTTTAAACCTCTTTTAGTGTAAAATCTGAAGAATTGGCTCACAGGAACATGGTTCCCCCCAGAGCCCTCAGTTCCTGGGGTCCAGAGCCATTCACCCCAGGCTGCCCAGTCCCAGGCCAGAGCTCTGGGGTCACCTCAACACTGGGCTTATTCTTACCCACTGGCTGTTTGCATGTGTTAGGAGAAAAACGATTCTTTTCAGACTTCCTCTTGACCGATCCCATGAAATCAATCTCAAGAATACAGCTTGTGATTCGAGTGTTTTGGTTTTATTCTGGAATGACAGAGATCAAGCCTGCTAATTGCTAACAAAATATCTTTTCCTTTCTATTAAAGCTTGCCTTTCAACTCCCTGATCGCTAAAGAACAGTTTGAGCTTTATAAATGGTAGTGATTCATACAGAGCTTAAGTGATGACAAAACCGATGTAAACAGAAAACGGGAGTAAGTGGGCTGGTGCAGGTGTTGGTGGAAGCTTTCTCAGAATTGTGTCCTTGAAGTCGAATCAACTTTCAGGATCCAAACAGCACAACAGAAGAGTAGAAACGGGTTTGCCCTTTTGGCTTCATGCAAACTTTTTTCTCCCTTCTTCCTTGTCTTTTTGGAGGGGAAATGTTGCTTTTCACAGGACTTGTAAAGATTCTTAATGAAGTGGGGAGGTGCTGGACAGCGTGGTCCCCACTCTCCAGAGACAGGCACCAGCCCAGCCTGGCAGCTCCAGAGAGGGTCTGAACGTTAGGATCACATCCTCTTCTCTCAATTTTTTTTTTTTTTTTTTTTTTTTTTTTTTTTTTTTTTTTGTGTGTGTGTTACTGGGAATCAAACTCAGGACCTTGCACTTGTGAAGCAAGCAGCAGAACCACTGAGCTAAATCCCCGGCCCTTCTCAATTATTAAGTTCTTGGCTAGCACATAATACAAAGTGTTATTTTTTAAATATGGTTATGTATAAATTTTAAAATGGTCACAGTAAAAGGCACATGGAGCCCCTCCCTCCAAACACACTGGTCCCATTGTCCTTGCCACATTCTGCAGCAGCTCTGGAGTCTTCTTTCCTGAGTGTCTTCAGCTGCGCTGTCCTTGCTGCCCCAATGTCGCAAACTGATTAAAAACTTTTACTTTCATTTTCATTTTGACTTTGGGAAGAGTCAGAAATCACACTGTGATGGATCTGGTGACTAAGGCAGATGAGGACGCACTGTCGTGTTTTTAGGGGCTGCCTTTCTATGAGACAGCACATAGCACTCAAGTATTTTTTATCACACCTTGTAAAGATGCTCAGGAAAAAGGGCTCCAGAGCTCCTTCAGAAACCGTCAAGAATGGTGGAATCAGTGTGTGTGAAGTGGGGGATAGGTATTTTGAGGGGGATTCATGACAAAGTGTCTTTTCTCACAGTGTTTCTTAACTTAAACATTCACTGTATTTTTCAATCCCTCCCTGTAACACCGTAGTGGGATACTATATGATGTTTCATTTCATGTATCCATTAGTATACTGACCAGCCTAAATTTTACCATTTCCTTGTAGTAAGTATATTCAGGAGGAGATGTGACAACAGAAATAAAGGTTCAAAAGAAAGAGGAAGATGTTACTTCGCTGATTTTGAAGATAAGCGAGTAAGAACAAAGATCATCTCTTGAAGCTGATAAAGACTGGAGAAGCCCAAAAAGTCTAGCAAATCAAAACATCCTATCATTTGCATCTCTGAGGGTGGCTGAAGAATATCAAAATAGGAACTTTTAAAAGGTGTAAATATCTTTTTATTCACTCTGCTTGAGGACTATAAATGTTTTCACTATAGAAAAGAAAACACAGTACATTTCGTGACTAGGGGATGGATTTTCTGAAGTTACCTTGGACAGAGTACAAACAGAAAACCAAAAATCCAAATGCTGAAATTCAGTTATGTCAAATCCCCTGTAAAAACAAAACAGAATAAAGACAAGCTAAAAAGGTAGAACTAAGCAAAATTTTAAAAAACAAAAAAGAAGGAGGAGGAGGAGGAGGAG